TAGGAAGACAATATATTGTTAAGATGTCAATAAATCCCCAAAGTAATGAACGACACAATCCTTATCAAAGTTCCAACAGTCTTCTTTGCAGAAATGGAAAAGTCTATCCTCGTATTCATACGAAAGAAATTACACGTGGCCCCAAAAAGTCAGAAAAATACTGACATAAAGAATACAGTTGGAAGACTCACACTTCCCAATTGCAAAACTTATAAAATGACTATTTGTTTAAATCAAAACAGTATAGGGGCGGGGCACGGAGGTTCATGCCTATAATTCCAGCACTTTGGGAGGCCAAGGCAGGTGGATCACAGGAGGTCAGGAGTTTGAGATCAGCCTGGCCAACATGGCGAAACCCCGTCTCTACTAAAAAAACAAAAATTAGCCAGGTGTGGTGGTGGGCACCTGTAATTCCAGCTACTTGGGAGGCAGAGGCAGGAGAATCACTTGAACCCAGGAGGCAGAGGTTGCAGTGAGCCGACATAGTGCCACTGCACTCCAGCCTGGAGTGAGACACAGTCTCAAAAAAGGAGGGGGGGAGGACCAAACAAACAAAAAAACAGTACAGGACTGGTATAAGGATAGACATATAGATCAATGGAATCTAATTAAGAGTAAGGAAATAAACCTATATATCCAGGACCAACTGATTTTCAATAAAGGTGCCAAGTCCATTCAACAGGGAAAATACAGTTTCTTCAAGAAACAGTGCTGAAACAACCGAATTTCTATCTACATATAAGAGAATGAAACCGGGATCCTACTTTATACAATATACAAGAATTAACTCAAAATAGATCAGCAACCTAACATGAGAACTACAACCATAAAGCTCTTAGGAAAAACATAGGAGAAAACCTTCATGACCTTGGACTTGGCAATGGATTCTTAGATATGACATAAAAAACACGAACAACAAAAGAAAAAATAGATAAATTGGACTTCATCAAAATTAACAACTTTTGTGCATCAAAAGATGTTATCAAGAAAGTAAAACGACAACGCATAGAAGAAAATATCTGCAAATCATATATTTGATAACAGTTTAATATCCAGAATAAGGAAATTACTGTATTTCAACAACATAAGGACAAACAACCCAATAAAAAAACAGGCAAAGAATCTTAACAGGCATTTTTCCAAAGAAGATATACAAATGGCTTATAAGCACATGAAAAGATGCTCCAATTCATTTATCTAGGGAAAGGCAAATGGAAACCACTATGACATTCCCCTTCACATTAGGGTTGCAAGTGAGAGAGGGAAAATGGAAAAGGAAGACAGAGGGAAGGAAGTAGGGAGGGAGAAAAAAAGGGAAGGGAGGAAGAAGAAGAAAGTTAAGTGTTGAAAATGACGTGGATAGACTGAATTCTTGTACATTTCTGGCAGGAATGTAAAATGGTGCGCTTTCACTGTGAAGAGTTTGGCAGTTCTTCAAAAAACTAAACAGAATAACTATATGACCCAACAATTCCATTCCTAGGTATACACACTCAAAATAACTAAAAACAGTGACTCAAACATATTTGTGCACCAATGTTCGTTGCAGCATTATTCACAAGAGCCAAATGTGGACTCAATCCAAATGTCCAACAGAGGAACTGATAAAATATGGTATATTCATACAATGGAGTATTACTGACTCATAACAAGGAATAACATTTTTATACATACGATATGGATGCACCTTATAAACATTATGCTAGACAGATAAACCAAACACAAAAGGACCAATATGGTGTGATCCCACTTTTATTAAGTATCTACAAAAGGCAAATTCAAAGAAACAAAAGGGTAGATTAGAAGTTACCAGGGACTGGTGGTGGGGAGTGTGGGTAGGAAGTTACTGCTTAAAAATTACAGTGTCTATTAGAGGTTAATGAAACATTTTGGAAGTAGATAAAGGCGATGGTTGCAAAACATTGTAAATGTAATTAATGCTACAGAATTGTACACTTAAAAATAGAAACTTTTGTTATATACTTTGCAAAAAAAATTTTTAATATACTTAGAAGAGAAAGAGGATAAAACATTTAATTGCTTATTTTATATTAATTACATCTTGAAACGATATTTTAACATGTTAGCTTAAATAAATCATTACACTAAAAAAAAAAGACCTGGGAAGGTCTTAGAAAATACCAGTCAGTCCAGGTGCAGTGGCTCACACATATAATCCCAGCACTTTGGAAGGCCAAGACAAGTGAATCACTTGAGCCCAGGAGTTTGAGACTAGCCTGAGCAACATAGTAAAACCTCGACTCTACAAAAAATACACACATAAAAAAAATCAGCCAGGTGTGGTGATGCACACCTGTAGTGCCAGCTACTCAGAAAGCTGAGTTGGGAATATCATATGAACCCAGGAAATCGAGGCTACAGTGAGCCGTGATTGTAACACTGGACTCCAGCCTGGGTAAATGAGCAAGACCCTGTCTCAAAATAAAGATAATATACCAGTCAGGGCCAGCTCCATGGGCATGCAACTAGCACAGCTGCACAAAGCCTGCACTCAAGGGATTTCATGCTCAGTGGTAAGCATCGGGAATTCTTAACAATTTATCTTTGAATCTGTGTTTTATAAAAGTGAACTCTGAGGGGACATGAGCACATGCCAAGGGCTTTGAGCCTCAGAGCTCACACATGGTTGGCCTCCTTTATCCTTTACAGGGCCAGGTCTGATACTGCTCCCGGCCTTACCCTCACCCCAAATCCCATCTGGCCTCCTGGTCCCCAACCCTATAACCACTCTCCCACTCATATCTTCCACCTGGGACTGTACCAAGTTGTCAAAAGGTCCACATTCCACTGCAGCCCCAAGTAGGGGACCGGCACAGATTGAAGGGTTGGGAGGCAGGTGGTTGAATACACTTGCTGTGGCATCCCAGTGTGCAGCAAGGTGGCAACCATCCCTGTCCTGCACTGATGGCACCAACGTATGTTTGGCAGGCAACTTGACAAGGATCCCTTGCCCAACCCAGATCCAATTTAATTTCTGATCGGATGTTAATTTTTATAAAAAAACAACTCCTGAAGAGTTTCTATGTGTAGCAGGGTTTAGACATACTTTAGAAAAGAAGATAAGGTTCTTGGAAGAGTCTACCTTTCCTAAGGCTTTCTTCTCTCAGCCACGCTATTGACAAGAATAGCCTCCTATTGGAGGTGTTAACTCTTGCTAAGATTGAAGTCACATGTGCTATAGAAATCTTATGAGAAGGCAGAGTGACATACCACTCTGAAATCTGAAATACAGAGCAGGGTGTGGTGAGGACAATGGACAGGTTGTTCCCTTGGTTCCTTCTCATACAATGTTGGTTCTCCCGTCAGCTTGGATTCATAAGCCCCCCAAGAGGCTTCTAATAAAGCTCCTTTTGTGTAAATTGGTCAGATTGGTTTCTGGTGCTTGAAAACAAAGAACTCTAATTGCTGTAGTGGATTAAGAATAAATGCACTTGACATGGAAAAAGGTTCTTACTATGAGGTTCAGTGAAAAAGAAAAAACAGCTAGTATGGTATCTTATACAATTTGATCATATCCTTTTAAGGAAAAAAATGTGAATACATCCTATTTTTTAAAATCTGTAGATAGATAACAATGTTAATTCTGGATATTTCAGGGTAATGGTTTACATGTGAGCCTTTCTTGTTTCTGTGTCTGGCCTCTAATTTTTCTATAAAAAACTTCTATATTGCTTAAATTTTCAAAAATTTCATAATATATAGGCCTAACTACAAATTAATAATAAAAATTTATCCCCAGAATAATTAGTTTTATTAATTCAACAGTTAATCTAACTGTTTTAAGCCATTCAAATCCTTTAATTTCCCCTTGTGAAGTACTGTATCTCTCTGTCAGTAAAGTGTTGGAAAGAAAAAGTAAACAGTCGTGAACAAATTCAGATGAGCAAACACATTCTCAGGCTAAGGAAGCAAAAGTGCATGAGCAATGCTCAGTTCCAGTCAAGTCAAAAACAAAGGACTCGAGAATGAGAAACTTTTGTTGTTACTGACATTTTACGTAAAAATAAAACACATTTCCTAACAGAATTCTACTTTAAAAAATTGAATTGACATTCAAAAGAGACTAAAGAGACCTGACAACCAAATACAATACCTGGTCCTAGACTAGATTTATTAATGAAGGGGAATTCAATGGTACAAATGATTACATGAGACAAAAATATCATTACCAATGACTACAAGGATATACAAGAGCCTTTTTTTTTTTTTTTTTTTTTTTGAGACAGAGACTCACTCTGTCACCCAGGCTGGAGTGCAGTGGCGCCATCTCAGCTCACTGCAACCTGCGCCTGCCAGATTCAAATGATTCTTGTGCCTCAGCCTCCTGAATAGCTGGGACTACAGGCGCCCGCCACCACACCAGGCTAATTTTTGTATTTTTAGTAGAGATAGGGTTTCACCATGTTGGCCAAGCTGGTCTCCAACTCCTGACTCTGCCCGCCTCGGCCTCCCAAAGTGCTGAGATTTTACAGGAGTGATGTACAATAACTCTTATTTAATGTTTTTAAAAACTATATATGCCAACTATATATTCTCAATGTTAAATGGACAGACAAAATTTTAGGAAAACTAACTTTTCTGAGACCATATATACAAATTCACAAATCAGGATTAAAAAAAAAAAACCACTCTGTCATTTCACGTATGCATGCCCATTTATTGATCACTCTAATAGGGGAAATTTAGTTTTCTTTTGCTAAAATAATAAACAAATCAATACATTTCCCTCAAACATCAAAAACAATTTTTTAGTAACTAATGACTAGAAAAATCCCTTCCTTCAAGTAGCTTAAAACCTGAAGAGTTTAAATAGCTCACTTTATGTCATAAAGACATAAATCAGTACTAAGGAGGTTTTCACAAAGCCATCTGAAGTATAATAATAGCAATTTCCATTTTGAGGAATCTTACCCACTCTTCAAAAAACCCCAGTTCAAATCTCACCTCCAAATTTCAATTGACTACTTATCTCCTCTTACCTTCAGTAACTGCTTGCAGCTGTCAAGCCCAATATCCACAAGAATACCTTTCACCTTTTTTCGCACCTTTCTGATGTTGTCAAGATTTTCCACAGGAATTTGAAACATTTTTGAAATTTTCCTTAAAAGGAAAGAAAACGAAGCTGTAATAAGTACATATATGTAACACACAAAAAGATATTTTTTTAACAAGGTTGGTAAAACTCTAGGAATAGAGTATAATTTTCAACAAATTGTTGTAGAACAAGTGAACATTCATATACAAATAAATGAGGTTGACCTCTTCCTTACACCATATACAAATATTAACTCAAAGTGGATCACACACCTATATGTAAGACCTAAAACTATAAAACTCTTATAAGAAAACATAAGCATAAACATTCATGACCTTGGATTTGGCAAGAAATCCCTAGATATGACACCAAAAAGCACCAGTAATGAAAGAAAAAGGAGGTATGATGAACTTTTTCAAAATTAAAAATTTTTGTGCTTCAAAGGACACCATCAAAAAAGCAAAAAACCAACAAAATGGGAGAAAATGTTTGCAAGTCATATTTCTGATAAAGAGCTTATATGCAGAATACAGATAAAGAACTCATATCTCAATAATTAAAAAACAGGTAACCCAGTTTACAGATGGGAAAAGGATCTGAACAGACATTTCTCCAAAGAAAAATGTCCACTAAGGTACATGAAAAGATGCTCAGGCAGGGCACAGTGGCTCATGCCTGCAATTCCAGCAGCACCTCAGGAGGCTGAGGTGGGCTGCTCAGGCAGACTATTTGAGCTCAGCTGTTGGAGACCAGCCTGGGCAACATGGTGAAACCCTCTCTCTACCAAAAAAAAAAAAAAAAAAAAAATTAGGCATCCTGGTGCACACCTGTAGTCCCAACTATCCAGGAGGCTGAGGTGAGAGGATCACCTGAGCCCAGGAGGTCAAGGCTGCAGTGAGTCTGATCATGCCACCATATTCCAGCCGGGAAACAGAGTGAGACCCTGTCTCAAAACAGAACAAAACGAAACAAAAAAGATGCCCAACATCATTAGCCATTTGGGGAAATGCAAATCAAAACCACAAAGAAATATTATGTCCACCAGGATATCTCTAGTTTAAAAAAAAAAAAAAAGGGAACATATTGGCAAGGACGTGGAGAAATTGGAACTCACATACATTTCTAATAGGAATGTAAACCTGTGCAGCCAGTCTTGACAACAGTCTGACAGTCCCACAAAAGATTAAAAATATAGGTAACATATGAACGAGCAATTCTACCCAAGTGAAATGAAAAGTATACATCCACACAAAAACTTACACAAGGACGTTCATAACAACACTATTCAATCATCAAAATGTGTAAACAACCCAAATGCCCCTCAACTGATGACTGGATATCCATACAATGGAATATTATTTGACCATAAAAGAAATGAAATACATACGTGCTACAATATGGATAAACCTTGGAAATATGCTAAGTAAAAGATGCCAGACACAAGGACCACCACATATTGTATGACTCTATTTATATGAAGTGTCCAGAACAGGCAAATCCATAGAAAGCACAACAGTAAGCTGGGCATGGTGGCTCACGCCGGCAATCCCAGCACTCTGGGAGGCTGAGGCAGGTGGACCACCTGAGGTAAGGAGTTCGAGACCAGCCTGGTCAACATGATGAAACCTCATCTCTACTAAAAATACAAAAAATTCGTGGGAAGCCTGTATCCCAGCTACTCCACAGGCTGAGACAGGAGAGGCACTTGAACCCAGGACGCAGAGGCTGCAGCGAGGCGAGGTCATGCCACTGCACTCCAGCCTGGGCGACGAGCGAAACTCCGCCCCCGCCCCCCCCCCCCAAAATAAAGAAGCACAACAGTGGCTGCCAAGGCTAGGAAGTGATGGAAGCAGGGCTTCTTCATTCTGAGCTCAAACGTGGTGATGTATATATGATGTTAATATGCTCACAGCCATTCACTGTACCCTTTAAATAGGTGAATTGTATGGTATGTAAACTGTATCTCAAGCTGTTTAAAACAATATCTAAAAAGGCATACAATTAAAGTAAACCCTGCAGTACTTGACCAGACTAGGGGTTACTAAAGTGAACTCACTGTTCTCAACACAGATATAAAAATAAAGACAGTTCAAGAGTATGTGTCCACATACATGCATACATACATTCATAGCTCTGTCCACTGAGAGTGCCTGGATGCAGTTATACGCCCAGTAGCAGTGGGCACAAGTAGGGCTCAAATCTTAATTCCCAAATACTACTTTCCTTTTCAAAATAACTAGGGTCCCTTGGGAAAATGGCTGGAGGATGGTAAAGACAAGATGAGCCTAGAACATCCTACGCCAGAATATAAAGCAGCCGCTCAATGAGGCATGTCAACAAAATACAAAAATAACCAGCTTGAAAGGGCTCCCACAGGCCAGATATGAGACAATTTGGGCATATATCAAGTAACAGATATAACCTGTGGCAAAGCGAATTTTCCAAACACACAACAATACCTTCCAACCCACATGCTGTTACAATATGGCCCTAAACTCCTCCTGAAAGTGAGGGCGTCTATGCCCCCTCTTCTTGACCTGTGGGCAGAACTTTGTGGCTGCTTTAACCAATAAAGTATGGAGAAAATAATGCCATGAGAATTCCAAGACTAGATCATAAAAATGCCACATACCTCTCAGGATGATCATGCTCAGAATCCAGATACCATGTTTGTAGAAGTGCCAACTAGCCCACAGAGACACCATGTGGAGATGGTCCATAGCAACCATCAGCATGGGAGTGAAGATGCCTCTTGAGGATTCTAGCCCCTAGCTGTCAAGTCACCCCCTGCCTTTAAGTCTTCCCAGATGAGGCCCCAGACACTGTGGACCAGAAACAAACCATCTCCGTCCTCTGTCTGAATAGAACTGACCCACAGAACTAATGAGCTTTCTAAATAAAATGTCTTACTCCACTAAGTTTGGGGTGGTTTGGTATACAGCAATATAACCGACTTGAATGTAGTGATATACTGAATTTGATGATTTTGTTATGGATATGTAGGAGAATGTTCTTGTTTGTAGGAAACAGTATTTAGGGCAATGTGGCAACTTTTTTTGGCAACTTAAATGATTCAGGGAAAAAAATTCTTCATAATATACTTGTAACTTTTCTATATATCTGCAACTATTTCAAAAAACATTTAAAAGTGTAGGTTACACACACTAAAATATGTATTAGTCAAACTGAAGTGGCAAACATTTGGTTATTCAAGTTCACTAATAAAGAAATGCCATTTAAAATAATGTCAATTTTTTACTATCAAAACAGTTAACTGTTAAGATTAGTAACATCTGGTGGTAGTAAAAGCAGAAAAATTATAATTTTTACACATTTACAGGGCAATTTGACAGTATCTCTTAAGACTTTTTTTTTTTTTTTTTTTTTTTTGAGACAGGGTCTTGCTCTGTCAACCAGGCCCAGAGTGTAATGGCTTGATTACAGCTCACTGCAGCCTCAACCTCCCAGGCTTAACAACCTCCCAGGCTTAAGCAATCCTCCTCCCTCAGCCTCCTGAGTAGGTTGGACTAAAGGTGTGTGCCACCACACCTGGCTAATTTTTTTATTTTTTTGTAGAGGCAGGGTCTCCCTATGTTACCCAGGCTGGCCTTGAACTCCTGGGCTCAAGCAATCCTTCCCCTCAGCCTCTCAAAGTACGGGGATCACCGGCATGATCCACCATGCCTGGCCCTCTCACGCTTTTCAAGGACAATTTCTGAGTAAACAATTCTACTTCTACACTCCTCTCTGTACCCTCCACCCAAGGACAGGCTTAATGATCCCTCCTAGGACCTGGCACAATAACCATATACCACTCCACTGCACTACTCACCATGTTGCAATTATCTACTTATATATCCATTTCTCATATTGGGCTGAACTACTCCAGGGCAGAAATCATGTTATATTTGCTTGAGAGGGTCCCATCACAGAGCACAGTGCATAGCGAATGTTCATTAAATGAACTACAGATATAAAATAAAACAGGATAAGAACCATAAGATATGCAGAAAGTGCTGGGGGTTCAAAAGAGGGAATGGCAATGGAAAGCTGGTGCCCAAGACATACAAGGTGAATGAATTAGCATTAAAAGATGACTGAGGTAAAGGAGGAAACATCTGAATTTATTTAGGAAAAGTAAAACCAAAAAGGTAGACTGGAATCAAACTGGGAAAGGAGTGGGAGGCAGAAAGGGTTAACATACAATAGGGAGAAATTTTTGATGGGTAACAAGCAAACAAGCTTTTGAGAAGCTGTTTTGGAGGGGTTAAATTTCTTTTAAAAGTTATCTATGTGAAAAAATGTATCCTGGTCTTAGCCAAAGGAGAGATTTAACTATCATTAGCATTGTAGAACTGGGAGGATATAAAAATCATAGGAAATAGTTTGAAAAATCTTCTTTAATAAAATGCACTGATTTGGGTTCTAGCCTTCAAAAGCTTACACTCCCATAGAAGAGCTGCCATAACCTCATTATGCTCTTGTAAACACTAAGCTCAAGGTCACTTTCTAGCCCAGACCAGCTTCTTTGGCCAGAGCCAAACTCAACAAAATTTTGCTAGCTGCTTTCCACGGACTCTATCAGACTTGATTTCATTTCTTCCTTAAAGTTTCACTATACTTTCTATCATCTGGGGTTCTTCTCCAAAAGCTGGCTGACAAACAGGATTGTCTAAAGTAGAGACCATCACCCACATTTTTCTGAAACAGGGAAGCTATATTCACCGCTTCCAAGAAAGTCTCAACTCACAGCAAGAGCTGATCTTATCAAAGGGTTTTGAGAAACATGGTGGACTTTTAAAGCAGAGTGATTGGGGATTGGCCGATTCACGTAAGCATGGTTGTACATACATGAATCTCAGAAAGAGGTTACTAAAATGAGGCTCTCAGCGATTGGGCAGGGTTCTGTGGTTACTTGTTCAAGGCTTGGGACTAGGTCTAAGGAGCTGTCAATCTGATCTTTTTTTTTTTCTTGAATTTGAAAAATAGGAACTTTTTGTTCTCAAATAAAAGTGCTCTCATTGCTTCATCATTGTTATGGTGGTCCTCCTAAACAAAAACACACAAATACCTTTTTATTAAAAAAAAAAAAAAAAAAGGTGGGGAGGAGGGAGGAGGGAGTTTCCCTTTTTTTTTTTTTTTTTTTTTTTTTTTAGCAGTTTGCTAACTGCTTTAGGGAAATCAACAGAGGATTTTAAAAATGCAAGTAAATTACAGAAGTTTCATAACTGTTGCCAATCACATTGGGGAAGGGAAGCTGACTTTTACCCATAATTTATCCATTCTTAGCTACCACAATTTATTCATTCTTAGATCCATTCTTATACCATAATTTATCAATCCTAAGATATATGATCCATATAAAATGCCCAGGGGTGAATTACCTAGGAAATAGTTCAATGTTTTCATATTTATAGATCCTCTATATATACTGCTCTCCATAGACTCTTAGTGCTCAGTAAAATCTGTATATTCACCATTAGAAAACAGCAGGCTCACTAGGGTGGCCAACTGTTTACCTATCATGCACTAAACTATCAATCTCAATTCAAAATAAATCTCAGTTCCCGAAGTTTGTGGTAGGCATGGAACTACCATAAAATTCCACTGATATGCACAAGAAAATAGTATTTTCCAAAAGAGTACATAAAGGATTTCTCTCTCTCTTTTTTTTTTTTTTAAGTATAATGATCTCTTAAAGATATTCTATTATAGAAAAAAAATACACTCTTAAAAAAAAATGTTGACCAGGCACACTGGCTCATGCTTGTAATTCCAGCACTTTGGGAGGCCGAGACAGGTAGATCACCTGAGGTCAAGAGTTCAAGACCAGCCTGACCAATATGGTGAAACCCTGTCTCTATCAAAATTACAAAAAAATTAGCCAGGCGTGGTGGCATGTGCCTGTAGTCCCAGCTACTAGGGAGGCTGAGACAGAAGAGCTTGAACCCAGGAGGCAGAGGTTGCAGTGAGCTGAGATTGTACCACTGCACACCAGCCAGGTAACAGAGTGAGACTCCGTCTCAAAAAAAAAAAAAAAAAAAAAAAGTCATTCAGGTAACACAGCAATAAATCATACTTTTTAAGCCACAGGACTATTTTCAGTTTCTGTGAAATTGTACAAAACGATAGTCACCAAAAAGGATTCTGGAGCTGTGTTCCTTGAGTTTACATCAGCCCTATCATTTAGGAGCTACGTAATCTTCAGCAAATCACTTTCTCTAGGCCTCAGCTGGCTCTTCCGTAAAACAGGGCAAGTATGACCTAATTCACAGCATAGCTATGAGGATAAATGAGTTAATACATGCAAAGTAGCACATAAGCACTGAGTTTGCTATTAACTAACTCCAAAAAACTAAATGAAATGTCCCAACAATTGGAATACAGGGCTTTTTTAAAAACAACTTTAAAAACACAGAATATTTGGATCATACATTAAGAAGATCTGGGTTCAAATCACTGGGAGATACCCGTTTCCACCTATGTAACACATTGCCCTAACAGTTCTGGGATGGCCAGAGGGTAAAGGGCAGGGCAGAACCCAAGTTTGCAATATACTGTTGGTGAACTTATGAGGGCAATCATAAATTAACCAACAGCATACAAACTTGGGTTCAAATAAAACAGGTGTCTCCCAAATCCCAGAATCTCTTCAGCTAAAAATCTAGCATAGTTGTCATCTTCCCCCATAAACAGTGATCAACTCTTTCAGACATGTCCTAACCCTCATTGTTCCTCCTCAACTAGAGGGCTGGTAGGACAACCTCTTGTCTCATCTCCACTCCTGTACTTCCTTCTTAACACACATCTGTCACTTTCATGTTTAAGGACCACGGGCTCAATCCTGTCTTCAGAGTGAAGTCCTAACCCTAACTGAAATATTAAAACACACTCATACACGGCCAACTCTCCAGGAACATCTCTAAATAAGTTACACTTACATTACCGACTTCCAACCATAGCTGAATATGTACTTTACACAGCTCTTACCTTTTTACATGTGGTCCTCTCTCCCACTAATGACTGCTCAATCCCACAAATCGTACTCAGACTCCAAACCCCCTTTTTTGATAAAAAGCTGCGTGTGGCATATGCCCACAGTCCTCTACAAGTATCTGCTGCAGCACTTGCCAATCTGCATTGTCAGTTATCTGCTTACCCGTTTCTCCTCCCCCACCCCACTCCCCTACAGCCAGTAGATTCCTCAAGATCCCCAGAGGCAGTGATTACCCATGAAAATAGAATACGTTTTAAGTATTCAGGCAAGTCTTCTGTTCAAAGAAAATACTTAAAAAATATTTAATTACTTCTCATTCTTCATCTGTACAATATTGAAAAGGGCAATTACAATTTTTAACATTCCAAAGCCAAATGTGGAAGAAATTTTGTAAACGGAATCTATTTCAACGCAACCAGCCACGGCAGATGAAGTTATTTTAAAGTCAACATCTGCATATCAATTATTGATACTCGCATCAAAAGCTCAACGGTGAAGAAACGGGCCCGTTATCAGCTGTTCTTCAACCGTTCTACGGGGAAAAAAACCTGGGCAGATTTAGGTGTCACCGTCAGCTCCTGCCCTACATTTGCCGCCACTCAACGCTCCTCCAGGAGAACCCGGGCTCGGGGCTGCGGCGGGCGGGCAGGCCGTTTCTGGGGTTCTCACTAGGGTGGCCCCAGCTCCTCGCCCCGTCTCTCCTTCTCCATCCCTCTTCCGTCTACCTCTACTCCTCGCTCCCTTCACCAGCCCCCTTCCCTCCCTCGGTACCCGTCCCCATCTTTCTCCGATTCCTCCTCTCCTCTTTGGTCCCCGTCCCCTTCTCCGCCCTCCCGGGGCGGCACCCGCTCCCACGTGACCGGCGACGGACGGGGCGGGGCGGGCCGCGGGTGCGTCGGGGGACGACGGGCACCGTTCGGGCCGCGAACCCGCGCCGAGAACGTCCCGGGATTCCCCAGGCGGCCTTGGGCAGCGCCAGGGCAGGCGGCGGGCGTGGGTATGGGCTGGGTGCCGGCATGGGCGGGGCTCGGCAGGGACTGGGGCAGGGGGCGTCGCCGCGCGGGCCGGGGCCGAGCCGGGCCGTACCTACCGCTCCGCGCCCAAGGAGCACCGCGTCTCCGCTGCCGCCTCTCGCAGCACTGCCGCGTCTTCCGCCGGGCGCCGCCGCGTCCCGTGGGGCCGCCTGCGCCCGCCCGCGCCTCCGCCCCGCGCGGCGGGACCCCCGCCTCAGCGCGCGCCCACCCCCGGCGCGACTCGTCCCCTCCTCCCGCGCAGCCAGAAAGAGAAAATGGCGCTCGATTGGCCTCAGGAAGTGACGTTGGCCCTCATTTGCATGTCGGCGCAGCCAGCCAATGGGAGCAGAGTGTGCTTGGGGCCCCTGGCACTTCCCACAGGCCCCTCGGGGGCCCCTGGCTAA